GACAGAGCGGCGAAACGCTTTGTGTACAATCAGTCTACAGAAAACGCAGCGAAGCTGGACCGAGAAATGCAACCCTAACAAATGGCATTCCTCGCCAACTTGACGTCCAGACGGACAGGGGGAGAGAGAGGGAGAGAGAGAGAGGAGAGAGAGAGAGAGAGAGAGAGAGAGAGAGAGAGAGAGAGAGAGAGAGAGAGAGAGAGAGAGAGAGGGGGGGGGGGCTGACGTCACGCATTCCAGCGCCGCCACCCTGACGGAGCATTCATTAGTAAAGGTAGGGGAGGGGGTAATTTAACGGGCGATCGTCTAATCGCGTTCGGTGCGGCACGCCATGCGTCAGTGTGGTGGAACCATGGCGGTGCCGTCGACGGGCTCAATGTTTCATTGCATTGGGTCGAAGGCCCCCGACAGAAAGATGCGGCCGAGTACACTCAGAGGGAAAAGCTGGTGTTTTTCACACCTAGAGAAATGGAAATGGCGTGGGGCATAGGGCGGGGATTCCACACTAGAATAAGAACAGCAAAAGTGAAAAAAAATTCGGCAAAACCTGAAATGAAACGCGCGAATGTGGTATACCTTCTCCGCATGACTGACGTGCTTTTCTTCTCTTTCTGTTACAGCAGGTGAGATGAGACTCCACGCGGCGCGGCGCCGAGCCGAGGAGGTCGTAAGTTTGGTAAAACGCGACGGTGCAGTGGGGCAGAAGACCGGTGGAGGCGGCCAAAATCCCGGACGCTTTTTGAGCTCCTGAGTCGCTAAATAGGACTCGAACTGAACATGTGACCCCACCAATGGATTGCTCTCCGAACGAGGAATCCATTGGTGGGGTCACACGTTCGGTTCGAGTCCTATTTAGCGACTCTAGAGCTCAAAACGCGTCTAGAGTTTTGGCGGCCTCCACCGGTCGTCTGGCCCACTGTGGCGCCGTTTTTTAAATCCCTGACACGGACCGCAACGCGGCGGCGCGGCGACACGCCCGCTCTCATTTATTTGCAAAAAATGTCCCCGTCCCTTCCGGCGCGTTGCGGCCCGTTCCGGCCTTCCCCTGGTTCCGGGGTTGGCGCCACTGCGCGCCACTGCGCCACTGCAAGGCGGCGGGGCGGCGGGGAGATAAGCAGAGGGTTGCCAACCGCCAAACGCAAAACTCGCCGCGATACTGCGACCGCCGCGACCGGAACGGGGTTTGCGTTTGGTAGGTTGGTGGTGCGGCGGATATGGTTTCATGGCCAGTGACTCCGAGCCCGCGCCAGAAGAGCTCCACGGCAAAATAAGGAAAAGAAAAAGAAAAAGTGGAGCGGAAAACGCGCGAAATTAGCGAGGGAGGCGCGACACTCGCAGAGCACAGGCAGCGGGTTCTACGGACTTGTTGTGCGAGACGGGAACTAAACGTGTGACCCCACCAATGGATGGCTCTCCGGACGAGGAATCCATTGGTGGGGTCACACGTTTGGTTCGAGTCCCATTTAGCGACTCTGGAGCTCAAAACGCGTCTAGAGTTTTGGCCGCCTCCACCGGTCTTCTGGCCCACTGTGGGGAGTCTGAATGAGGTGGCTGCGATAGGCGGTGCAGGGGCGCAGAGGGCGACACCGCAAGCAATTCACAGTGGGCGTACACACAAACCACGCCAGCCGCACCACTTAGTCCGCATGAACGTCTTCCGTCTCTCTCGCACTTGTTGGCCGTCCGCGAAGGGGGAGAGACAAGCACAGCGTCGTAAAGTACTCGCCTTCCCTTACACTGCAAGACGGACCGGCTATCTCCAGTCCCTGCGGCCCTCCGGTACACTATCCGGTCTTCGCATGATAAGCTCCAGCGACCATCCCACGAGGAGTGAGAGAGGGGGGGGGGGGTGAGATTATGTAAAGTGTGGCATGTGACGGTGTTCGCCTGGATGGACTGGTCGCAACAAGGAGAAGGCAAGGGGGCAAGGAGAGGAGAGGATTGGAGAAAAAGAGTGTGTGTGTGTGTGTGTGTGTGCATGTGTGCTCACCGGGAGGAAAGGGGGCGAGAGCAATAGGATACCGGATGTGTGTCGCTGGTCCGGACCAAGTGTGACCGCTGGTGAGCGCGGGCGAAACAGAGGCAAACTTTGGACAAGGGTAAATACAGCCGACCGCTGTGCTCCACCGCCCCGCCTCCCCGCCGCACAGTGGACCAGAAGACCGGTGGAGGCGGCCAAAACTCTAGACGCGTTTTGAGATCCAGAGTCGCTAAGCAGGACTCGAACCGAACGTGTGACCCCACCAATGGATTCCTCGTTCGGAGAGCAATCCATTGGTGGGATCACACGTTCGGTTCGAGTCCCATTTAGCGACTCTGGAGCTCAAAACGCGTCTCGAGTTTCGTCCACCTCCGCCGGTCGCCGGACCCACTGTGCTGTGCCGCCCCGCCGCCCCGGCAGCCACAGGGCGAACGGGGCGAACACAATAAGAGGCGAGCATTGCCACACCAGAAACAAAGTCTCGTCGTGTCGGCCGCCGGCAAAAGAGGGGGCCAAGGGGGGCAAGGGGGGCCCCACGCACGCGGCATGTCGATGCAGGCCTGATTCGGCACGAGGCCTGGGCACCAACCGCATAGAGAGAGAGAGAGAGAGAGAGAGAGAGAGAGAGAGAGAGAGAGAGAGAGAGAGAGAGAGAAAGAGAGAGAGAGAGAGAGAAATAGGAGCGTCTTCTCTTTTCTGGGCGTGGCGCTCGCATTCTCATAGCGGGTGGCATACGGGATATGAAATGGAATCGGGGCCTGCACTGGGGAAAAGGGGGAGGGGAGGGGGGGGGGGGTGAAGGGGTCGAGATGACGGCCTTAGTGGGGCAAGGGTAGAGCACGGCCCGCACACTATAGGGAGGGTCACATGCATACATTACACGCTCGAGTCCGCGCTAATGGTCAAACTGCGGGGAGGGAGAGAGAGAGAGAGAGAGAGAGAGAGAGAGAGAGAGAGAGAGAGAGAGAGAGAGAGAGAGAGAGAGAGAGAGAGAGAGCAGGGCAGACCCCTTTAGTCTGAAAATGTGAGAGCCCGCGCACAATTTATGGACGGTTCAAAAAGTCGGCCGCGCATAACGTGGGATTGCCCCCCCCCCTCTCTCTCTCCCTCCCAGCGCGTGCGCGTGAGTTGCAAAGACACCAAGCACTTTCACAAATCACGCCGGCGGCAGCATCTCGGGCGAGTGCACGGCGCACAGTGGGCCAGAAGACCGGTGGAGGCGGCCAAATCTCTAGACGCGTTTTGAGCTCCAGAGTCGCTAAATGGGACTCGAACCGAACGTGTGACCCCACTCAATGGATTCCTCGTTCGGAGAGTGGTCCATTGGTGGGGTCACACGTGCGGTTCGAGCCCTGCTTAGCGACTCTGGAGCTCAAAACGCGTCCAGGGTTTTGAACGCCTCCACCGGTCTTCTGGCCCACTGTGCGGCGCCGCGGCGCATGGGGAGGGAGACTCTAAGAAAACCGCTCGACGCGCTCGACGGCCCCTCTGTGTTCCTTCCGGTGCTTAACGACAATGACACCGTCCCGTTGAAGCAGAGAAAGGGACAGGGGCGGCGAGGAGACAGAGAGAGAGAGAGAGAGAGAGAGAGAGGGGGGGGGGGAGGCAGCCAGAGAAAAAGACAGCGTGTTTGAGGTGCTTCCGCCAAACAGACAGGTGAGCATGGACTCTGCAGTGAGGCTCGGTGCTCGCTTCGCGCCAAAAGGTTGCGTGCCTTTACTATTTTCATTTTTTTTCAGTGCAGGGTTCTAGGGCAGGCCGGCAGGGCCAGGGTCTTCGGGGCTTCACTGTCACAGACTGTCCCTTGTGTACCTGGGGCGGGGCGGGGCTGGCGGGGCGGGGCGGGGGCGGGCGCCCAGCCCGGGGGCAGCAAGCTTGGCAGCAAGGGTGTGGGAAGACGAGACTGTCTGTCCCGACAGTGGTAAAGCCCCAAGACGGCGACCGAGGCACGACGAGGCACGTGGAACGAGGAGCGGCAGAACACGGTCTAGGACCGGACGAGGCGGCAACAGTGGGCCAGAACACCGGTGGGGGCGGCCAAAACTCTAGACGCGTTTCGAGCTCCAGAGTCGCTAAAAAAGACTCGATCAGAACGTGTGACCCCACCACTGGATTCCTTTCCGAAGGGGGAATCCATTGGTGGGGTCACCCGTTCGGTTCGAGTCCTGTTCAGCGACTCTGGAGCTCAAAACGCGTCTAGAGTTTTGGCCGCCTCCACCGGTCTTCTGACCCACTGTGCGCAGGCTCCGCAGACACTGGGTGGCAAGGTGTACCACACCGCAAGGGCCGCAAGGGCAGCTGTCTCGGCCGGGCGGCGAAAGGGAGGGACATTCCGGGCGGAATACGTACCTAGAAGACGAAGAATCCAGTTATAATTAGGGCGCGGTGTCCGGAGGGAAGGGGTGGGGGGGCGGAGGGGAGGGGTGTAGGGGAGGGTTGAGGAGGGGTGGAGGGGGGCGGAGGGGAGGGTGGAGGGGTGGAGGGGAGGGGAGGGGTCTGCTGGCGAGCTGCCCCCGCGCTGTAGGCAGAGCCAGGCAGAGCCTTCCCCGTGGTTCCTGTTCTGTCACGGATAGCGCTCCCCCTTCCCCGTCGCCTCTTCAAGTGTGTGCAGCCCAGCAGCGCCCGCCGAGCCAGCCAGCCATGCCGATATACTAGGGGTACGCGCCGTTTAGTGTGGGCGCGTAGTGTGGCTGAGCGATACGAATTTGTGCACTTCGGACTTTGCTTAAGTAGACGAATGTGCAGCTTGTGGGCTCATATTGAGTGGGGGAATGTAGGTCTGGGGTATAATGGAAGTGATTTTCGTTAACAGCACACACAAAACTGTTGGGATCAACGTCACACTCGATTTTAAAATTTTGGTCCAAATTGGTCAAAATTCGTAATGCGTGAGTCTGGGAAAATTTGGAAGTCATTTTTGAGTTCAGCACACCAAAAACTGCAGGAAACATATAAAAACTCGATTTGAAAATTTTGGTCAAAATTACCTAATTTGATGAAAATAAAGTCTGGAGTCGAAATGGAGGTGATTTTCGTTATCAGCACACACAAATCTGTTAGGATCAACATCAAACTCATAAAAAAATTTTGGTCCAAATTTGGTCAAAATTTGCTAAAGCGTGAGTCTGGGAAAAATTTGGAATTTATTTTTGAGTTCAGCTCATAAAACACTGTAGGAAAAAATATAAACTCGACCTAAAAATTTTGGTCCAAATGACCTAATTTAAGATAAAAATATAAGTCTGGAGTAGAAAGGAAGTGGTTTTCATAATCAGCACCCCAAAAAACTCAAAGAATCAATATGAGACTTGATTGAAAATATTGATATAAAATTGATCAATAATTGGTAAAAAATGGGTCTGGGTTGGTCTTCATGGATCACCCTTTGTCGTCACCAATACCCTGATGCCACACCAATGCTTTTTTTCAGTCGAGTAACATTCCATTGCCAGCATAGAACGCTTAATTGGCTACTCGTCTGCTTGAGTCACTATTAGATGTATGTTTTTCTTCCAACTCATGAATTCACAAATTTATTAGTTAAATTTGAGAAGCCTTTTGTCATTATTTTATTTTAAACCATAAATTTAAACAACATAGACTGGAATATGTAATCATAGTTTATATTAAGTGACTCAGTTTAGGGCAGGCTGATCTGAAGCATTCGACGGAGAAAAAATTTTGTCAAATTCAGTGAATCGTCTCATGAAGTCAAGTGCAGAGCCACTTGTTGCTCAATACGCCAACATAATTTACCTTATTCATGCCTCGTGATATTTTGTCTCTAGAGTAAAAGAATACAGTGCTTGTATTCAGAGAGCCAGCTTTAAACCATTACCAATACTTAGTTCCAGTTGTCGGACAGAAGCTTTGGTGAAGAGAAAAGAATCGTCTCATTAATGCAATTACAAAGTCCCCCACCGCTCAAAACCTGAATCGTCCATTAACCCAATATCAGTTCAAAATCTGTTAGCACAAAATTTTGGATTATTTATTGCCCCAAATTACTTTATTTATGGATTCTTTTAATAATAGATTTTGGGTACAAAAATATTTATGTTAGCTTGCAGCATTGCAATAGAATGTCATTTCCCGAGACAAACCAAAACAATTAAATAGTCTTCAAAATTTTAACAGAAGTTATTCATGCATTTACCCGATTTGATTTACTATCAAATTTTAAAAAAAAGGATAGTACCAGAGAGAAAAAAATCAGCAGATGCACACAAAGGCAAAGAAAACATTCTATTTACAATCCACACCTACACTCACAGTGCACTGACCTGAAGGATGATTCCCTGTGACGGGGGAGGGGGGAGAGGGGAACGAAACACGCAAACCATTCTCACATTCAGTTTTCGTATTTGCCTCTGTTGACACTCCGGAAGGGTTTCATTTATTCTCGAATGTTAAAAAACTATCTCAGTACCTATTTGAGAACCCCTTTGCTCTTTAGTTTGTTTATTTGCATAAGTGCCGTCCCGTCTTGCAGACGGCTTGCAAGCGCGGCAGCCGGTATGAGAAATTTGTCAGCCGCACGATGCTACAACCCAACCACGCTAATTACCTAGTTCAAAACGATGTTTTGAATATTTCAAACGATGATAATCGTTAATCTGAGATAAACTCCCCCCGTAGGAGTTTAGGAGACATCAGGTGTGAAATTTGGATACTATTCGTTCAGTATTGCTGAGAAAAGTGAGTGATTACATACAGACGGACAGACAGACTCACGACCAGTCGGTTTTTGGTGCGCCCTAACACGGCAGGGCTTCGCTATCGCTCAGCCAATCACCGAGCGTCATTTGAATTTGCCGCCAGGCAGGCGGGCTCGGTGCGAGACTCGGTGTGTGACTGTCATTTGTTTGCAGGTGACGGCCCAAGCCCTGGGCTCCGCCATGGCGGCGCGCGGCTCCACCGTAAGGGTCAACGCCGGCACCCGCTTCACGCACTGCTCCCAGGTAAGCCGCAACCAACCGCCACACTGACAAAAAAATATCTTTGTTTTGGGGACCGCGTGTGTTCTGGTGGGCCTTCAGTCTTGTCATCGCTTCTCGGGTGGGCTCGTTCCGGGACAGTCGTAAAAATCCACCCCCCGCATCGAGCAAGATTCCCCCACCTCTTCTGCTTCCCGTTCGCGGAAGTGTTGACACATTTTTTGCACGGTTGCACCTTGCGCGGCCCGGTGGGCGGCCCGGTGGGCGGCCCGGTGGGCGGCCCGGTGGGCGGCCCGGTGGGCGGGCAGGCGAGGTGGGTGGGCGGGTCCGGGCCACCCTCCAGAATGCCGCCCGCATGGAGCCCCCGTCTTCGCCAGACTCAAAGAGTCCTGCCAGTCGCCAACTTCGAAGCCCACATTTAAATGGGCCACAGCCTCGGCCACAGCCCCCTCCCCCCACCGCGCCACTCCGCCAAAGCCTCACCACAGAAACGTACTCCTCCGCGACGTCCCACAGTGGGCCAGAAGACCGGTGGAGGCGATCAAAATCCCGGACGCGTTTTGAGCTCCAGAGTCGCTAAAACGGTCGCGAAACAAACGTGTGACCCCACCAATGGATTTCTCGTTCGGAGAGCAATCCATTGGTGGGGTCACACGTTCGGTTCGTCCTGTTTAGCGACTCTGGAGCTCAAAACGCGTCTAGGGTTTTGGTCGCCTCCACCGGTCTTCTGGCCCACTGAGCCTCGCCACAGAAACGTACTCCTCCGCGACGCCGCTGCACTGTCACCAGCTCGAGTGCACGGCGAGTGAAAAGGCTCCTCGAGGAATATTATTTTCCCGCCAAACCGATTTCCTGCCCCCCCCCTCTCGCCCCCATCCGTGCCCCGCATCAGGACGGACGGCGAAGAAGAGTAAATACAAAAGGAAGAAAAAAATATGTGATTGATGTCCTCGAAGATGTCGCTCTTCCTGACACTGTCAAAAACTTGGCGCCATCTGCGCCGGCAAGCGACAACACTGCAAAACGGTACTTCGCAGAGCAGTAACAACCACGGCGAGGAACAACCAAGTAACAACCAAAGTTGTCGCACCGCAACCGACGGCAGAGCTTTGCTAAACGTAGTCTCTCTCGCACCTATACGGAGCGCCCCATGAGTGCGAGAGAGACAGAGCGACGAAAACGAGTCTCGGAACGAGTCCGGGAAACGACGCACCCGTGCAATCGCAACGCACGTTAAAAGCATGACGCGCGAAGCACGCAAACACGACGCTGAAAAATGCAGCGTCAAACAAAACGTCCGAAGCGCATGAGAGAGAGAGGGAGAGAGGGAGAGAGAGAGAGAGAGGGGGGGGGCAAAAAAAGAAGACCATAACGTTGAGACGAGTCTGGAAAGCCGAGGGGGTTTGATTAAAAACACGCTGTTGGCAAATAAAATAATCCGTCCGCACTCCGCATTCTGCAGAATGCCGCGGCGCTACGCGTAGCGGAGCGGCACAGCGCTGTCGAAACTTGACTGGGGCGTCAAGAGAGACGCGCCAAACACCCGCCGCGACACTGTTCAGCATCTCGCCGCACAGTGGGCCAAAAGACCGGTGGAGGCGGCCAAAACTCTAGACGCGTTTTGAGCTCCAGAGTCGCTAGATGACACTCGAACCGAACGTGTGACCCCACCAAGGGGTTCCTCGAGCAGAGAGCGATCCATTGGTGGGGTCACACGTCCGGTTCGAGTCCCATTTAGCGACTCTGGAGCTCAAAACGCGTCGCGGATTTTGACCGCCTCCACCGGTCTTCTGGCCCACTGTGCGCACTGCTCCTCTGTCCTCATTGCAAATCCATTTGCCAAGCACCGGCGCTGGTGCGATCACGACCGAGGGAGGAGGAGGCGGAGAGAAAAACACCCCGAGCAAACAAAACAAACAAAAACACATTTCGCGGCGGGGAATTCAAAACGGCGGCGGGGCGGGAAAAAAAAGAGCGAGTTTGCTTGCTTGGCTCCGCGGGACGGCGGAGCTCCGCCAGCTTGGGCAGCTCGGCGCGCGCCGCCGTGCCAGGCACGCCCAGGCACCAGGCTGATTCCGAGACACGTCGCTCTGTCTCTCTCGCACTCAGCGGCCGGCTTGGGTGCGAGAGAGACAGAGCGACACTCTCGGAATCAGTCTGCAGATTCGCACGGATTCACGGGCTTGCTTCCCAAGACAAGCCGGATTCCGGACCCTTCTCTCTCTCTCTCTCTCTCTCTCTCTCTCTCTCTCTCTCTCTCTCTCTCTCTCTGCGACAGAATGCGGGGCTCTCATTACCCACGGCCACCTCGTTTTTGCGCGCAATTCCCGATTGTGGTGCACCAGGCGGTCAGGAAGGGGAGGAGAGGGAGGGAGGGAGGGAGATGCCGGTCCGCACAACACTCGTGCGGTGCGGACTGCCTTGGCTCGGTTCGCAAGGCGCTCTGGCGCAGCGGTAGCGCTCTTCTGTCTGTCTCTCTCTTCTCGTTCGCAGAGCAATCCATTGGTGGGGTCACGCGTTCGGTTCGAGTCCCATTCAGCGACTCTGGAGCTCGAAACGCGTCGAGAGTTATGTCCGCCTCCACTGGTCTTCTGGCCCACTGTGCCGTGCTGAAGCCTAGCCTCGCAGAAGGGGAGCTCCTGCCCATGCCCCGCGCATGCACGCACAACCCCAGACGGATCCCAGAAGGGCTGATTAGTATCGGATTACGCAAGGGCCAAGGGGCCCCCTCCTCCCCCCCCCCTCCTTGGCTCACCGCAGGCAAGGCCGGGCAAGGCAAAGCAGTGCGAGGCATCGACGCGCCATCTGCAGTGCCGTCTGCAGTGCGAATCTCGAATCGAATCTCGAATCGAATCTTGAATCGAATCTCGAATCGAATCTCGAATCGAATCTCGAATCGAATCTCGAATCGAATCTCGAATTGAATCTCGAATCGAATCTCGAATCGAATCTTAAATCGAATCTCGAATCGATTCTCGAATCGAATCTCGAATCGAATCTCGAAAAATCTCTCCGCGAATCGAATTGAAAAAACCGAGATCCGGTTTCCAGAGGATGGAAACCGAATATGGCATGTTCATGTCCAAAACGGCCGAAAATGCCTCACTTTCTGTTGTTTTGAACGAAAAGAAAAATCAATTCGTGAATTTCACATTTTATTGCTTGTTTTCGAATCGAAGTTTGGCAGTCCGGATTAAAAAGGTTTCGGGCGATTCGCACATCTCCAAGCAGACCGTACAACAACGCGAGAGTGGCGCACCACTGCCAAACTAACAAAAAGACCATCGATATGGTGAAATAACAGCCAACTTCTTAATGCCCCTGGCAGCTACAGCTCGGATTGTTCGGTGATACTTTTTTATTAATTGGCCCAGGCCGCATTGGGCGGGGGGGGGGAGGGGGTAGCAGGCGGCACGGCGCACAGCGCTTGCATCCAACTGGGATAGATTTCGGATTTCGGAGGGGACATAACAAACGGAAAGAGAAAGAAAGACAGAATAAAAAGAAAACGAGTGAAAGCTGCACTGTTAAAATGGAATGAAAAAGAAAAAAAAACACGTGCCAAGTGCGTTTTGAAGCGCCGTTGAAAATTTCCAAGACGGCTTCATTTTCAAAAATAAAAGTCTATTTAACTATTTCTGCTGAAAACTCGTGCAAAATAGGGCAATTTGCGGTTTTGGAGTTTTTCGATGATCAGAGGCAACATTTTTTTTTTGCTACTAGTACTCGGCGTATTCCAAGAATTTCTCTTTTCTTTCCACAAGTGAACAAGCCTGGCGCCTGCTGCTGCCCCAAGTATTAGTGGCAAAGGCTCCAATTTATACCCCCTCTGCGCAAACTGGGGACGCCATTGGGGGTATGAGTGGAGTGGGGGAGGGGGGGGGTAAGTGGCGAGGGGCACGTGAGTGGATCAGCGGTATGAGAGTGTGAGCGTGCGGCAGGAAGACGCCACGAGCGCGACACAGTGGGTCAGAAGAACGGTGGAACTCTTGACGCGTTTTGAGCTCCAGAGTCGCTAAACGGGACTCGAACCGAACGTGTGACCCCACCAATGGATTGCTTTCCGAAGGAGGAGTCCATGGTGGGGTCACACGTTCGGTTCGAGGCTTATTTAGCGACTCTGGAGCTCAAAAGGCGTCTAGAGTTTTGGCCGCCTCCACCGGTCTTCTGGCCCACTGTGCGCGACTAGGGTGCAACGTGCGAGGCGACGCCTTGCGTTCACGGCCAGAGAGGCAGGCAGAGAGCGCGGCATATTGGAAACCAGCTCCCGCCCTTGGGGCCCTGCAGGCTCTGCAGGCCCTGCGGGGCTAACAAGGCTTGTACCGGCTGTTCGTTTAAACGGGCAGCGCGACAGCGGCTGGCTTGCCTCGCCTTGCCTCCAAGTGGGCCAGAAGTCCGGCGCCGGCGGCAAAAACTCGAAACGCTTAGCGAGCTCCAGAGTCGCTAAACAGGACTCGAACGCAGCGTGTGACCCCACCAATGGATTGCTCGTTCGCAGCGCAATCCATTGGTGGGGTCACACGTTCGGTTCGAGTCCTGTTAAGCGGCTCTGGAGCTCAAAACGCGTCGGCGATTACGACCGCCTCCATCGGTCACCTGGCCCACGATGCGACACAGGACAGGGACATTGGTGTCTGAGGGAGGCACGCGGCCGGCAGGCAAAACACCCGGCTTGCGAAACTTGCCTGCCTCTCCCATTAACACTTTCCTTACTACTTGCTGGAGCCAGCAGCTTGTCGCAGAGCGGCGCAGAGCGGCGCAGCACAGTGGGCCAGAAGACCGGTGGAGGGGGACAAAACTCTAGACGCGTTTTGAGCTCCAGAGTCGCTAACGAACGTGTGACCCCACCAATGAATTCCTCGTTCGGAGAGCAATCCATTGGTGGGGTCACACGGTCGGTTCTAGTCCCATTCAGCGACTCTGGAGCTCAAAACGCGTCTAGAGTTTTTTCCGCCTCCACCGGTCTTCTGGCCCACTGTGCGCAGAGCGGCCGGCCCCGTTCATGTTAAACAAGATAAAAAACAGCAACAGCGACTGCACTCGCGTACACCCGGCGAAGCCCAGGCGTAGCCGAGGCACGGCCTGTGTACACTAATTTCCCCCGTTGAGATACGCGCGTATGGCCGGTAAAAACAGGGCCGCCGAGATGGCTTGCTTCGACTGACTGGGGCGGCGCAGGTACATCGTTTGCCCGCCCCGCCCCGCCCCGCAGCCAACCTTATCACGACAGGGCGCCCTTGCCATCTCAGCAACGACACACCGCGCGTACACCGCGAAGACTGAAAAAAAAAAAAGAAAAAAACCGCGACCGTTTTTCGACGCGGACACGGTGGGGTTCATCTCGACCTCGCACTCCTCTCTCTAAAACTTCCCGAGTTTTTCCATCGCAATCGCAATACGAACAAAACGCTCTTCGCACTATTACGCGCGACGGCGCAGCGTCATTTCTCGGCGGGATATTGAAGGTGAAGACCGGAAAAAATCTCGGTGCGCGAATGATCCCGCAAGCCCAACCGGCGGCAAGGCCCTTTGTTTTCAATTTGGAGAGCGCGTCGCGGCGTCGCCATGTTGGACGTATGGAAAGATTAAAGGGGCCGTAAAAGCGTAAAAGCGGCCAGTAAATTGGGGTACTAAAAGCGGAAACGAAAAGGGGATGACGAGGAGGGGCGGGGGAGGAGGAGAGCACAGTGGGCCAGAAGACCGGTGGAGCCGGCCAAAACCCCGGACGCGTTTTGAGCTCCAGAGTCGCTAAATGGGACTCGAACCGAACATGTGGCCCCACCAATGGATTCCTCGTTCGGAGAGCAATCCATTGACGGGGTCACACGTTCGGTTCGAGTCCTGTTTAGCGACTCTGGAGCTCAAAACGCGTCTAGAGTTTCGGCCGCCTCCACCGGTCCTCTGGCCCACTGTGGGCAATGACGACACGTGGAGGCCCAGCGAGTTTCACGCTTTCCAATCACACGGCCGCCGCGTCTTGTCACTCGCACTGCAACCCCTTCCAGGCCCTCCAGGCCCTTCCAGTGTGGTGGCGCCCCATTTGCGGTGGGGGGGGGGGGGGGGGGAGGCCGCGCACCTCGACATCCGGCGAGGCAGGCAGACAACAAACCAAATTCCACAATTTGGGGACCGTATCTCAGCGACGCGCGACGCGTACGCCAGGACGATAGCAGACGGTGCCACGTTGCTTCAAACTTGGCAAAATAAAAATTCTTGAGTGTACATTGCACAGTTACTTATATGATGTTTCGGCCGAATACAGGTTGGGATAGGTGCAGCTTCGCGCAAAGCGATGCGCTGAAAAAGCACACGGTATAGTTTACACCGAGGTTTACACTGTGTCCCACAGAGACAGGGAGTGTTGGCCTAGTGACTGTCCTTGTCTGTTCCGCCCGTTGCAGGTGCTGGCCGCCCTAGCGGTGTCGCTGGGCCCGTTCGCCGCGGGGCTGGGCAAGGGCTACAGCTCGCCGGCCATCGCGTCGCTGCAGGAGCAACAGCGCGTGCCCCTTGACCCCGGAGGGGCGGCGGGGGCCGTGGGGGGCGGCGGGGGCGGCACGAGCTTCACGGTCAGTCACCGCGCTTCTTAGTAGTATAGGTGGCCAAATTTTTTTTAAATTTGTTTCTTTTTAATTTTTTATTTTAAATTTTTTTCAAAATTTTTTCAAAATTTTTTTCTAAATTTTTTTAAATTTTTTTCTAAAATTTTTTTTCAATTTTTTTTTCTAATTTTTTTTTTAAATTGGACTCTAATCGAACGTGTGGCCCCACCAATGGATTCCTCGTTCGGAGAGCAATCCATTGGTGGGGTCACACGTTCGGTTCGAGCCCGTTTAGCGACTCTGGAGCTCAAAACGCGTCTCGAGTTTCGGCCGCCTCCACCGGTCTTCTGGCTCACTGTGGCGGGCTTTCCAGGTGTCGCCGCAGCAGGCCAGTTGGGTGGCGTCGCTGTCGCTGCTGGGCGCGCTGTTCGGCGGGCTGCTGGGCGGTATGGCGATGCGCTACGGGCGGCGCAAGGTCCTGCTCGTCACCGCCGTGCCTTTCAGCGCCTCCTGGCTCGTCACCGTCTTCGCCACCAGCGTCGAGATGATGTTCGTCACCGCCTTCGTGGGCGGCTTCTGCTGCTCCATCGTGCTGCTCGTCACGCAGGTACGTAATCCCATTTCGATTCAATCGAACTCAATCCAAATTTAGATTCGATTAGTTCACTCAAAATTAAATTTGATCGAATTCAATCAAAATTTCGATTTAATCGAATTCAATCAAAATTTCGAATCAATCGAATTTAATCAAAATTTCGATTTTATCAAATTTCATTAAAATTTTGATCTAATCGAACTTCTTCAAAAATTTCGACTTGCTCGAATTTTGTCAAATAATTTCTATTAATCGAATGGCAAGAAAATTGAATTGATGATGGTCCGCAGGTGTACGTGAGCGAGATCGCGGGCCCCGACATCCGCGGCTGCCTGAGCGCGGTGCTCAAGATGGTGGGGCAGGTGGGCGTGCTGCTGAGCTTCCTGGGCGGCGCCTACCTGGACTGGCGGCAGCTGGCCATGGTGGTGGCCGTGGCGCCCGTCATGCTGTTCGTGAGCGTGCTGTACGTGCCCGAGACGCCGTCCTACCTGGTGCTGGCCGGCAAGGACGACGAGGCCGCCCGCGCGCTGCAGTGGCTGCGCGGGCCCGACGCCGACGTGGGCCCCGAGCTCGCCGTCATCCGGTCCAACATCCTGGACGACGGGCCGCCGCGCAGCCCCGCCTCCTTCGTGGCGGCCGGCCACAAGCTGCTGCGGCCCGCGCTCACCACCTGCGGCCTCATGCTCTTCCAGCGCTTCTCCGGCGCGCAGGCCTTCCAGTTCTACGCCGTGCCCATCTTCCGGCAGACCTTCGGCGGCATGAGTCCGCACGGCGGCGCCATCGCCGTGGCCTTCGTGCAGCTGCTGGCCTCGCTGCTGTCCGGCCTGCTCATCGACACCGTGGGCAGGCTGCCGCTCCTCATCGCCTCCTCCGTCTTCATGTCCATGGCGCTGGCCGGCTTCGGCTCCTTCGCCTACTACATGGACGCGCAGGTCAGTCTCAGTGGCGCTGCGGAGCCCGCGGAGCGCCTTGCGAATCGAGGATAGGCTAGCCCGCCGCACAGAACTGCCGCTGGGATGCCTACCCTCGATTCGCTGGGCGCTCCGCCACTCGAGACTCGAAACGCGTTTTCAGTTCCAGAGTCGCTAAATGGGACTCGAACCGAACGTGTGACCCCACCAATGGATTGCTCTCCGAACGAGGAGTCCATTGGTGGGGTCACGCGCACGCGTTCGTTTCGAGTCCTGTTTAGCGACTCTGGAGCTCAAAACGCGTCCAGTGTTAAGGCCGCGTGTGGCCCTCCGTGCTGAGCCTCCGCTTGCTTGCAGGGCGACCGGATGGCGGCGCTGGGCGGCAGCCACGACTGGATCCCGCTGCTGTGCGTGCTCGTCTTCACCGTGGCCTTCTCGCTGGGCATCAGCCCCATCTCCTGGCTGCTCATCTCCGAGCTGTTCCCGCTGCAGTACCGCGGCGTGGGGTCGTCGCTGGCCACCAGCTTCAGCTACGCGTGCGCCTTCGTGGGCGTCAAGACGTTCGTGGACTTCCAGCAGGCGCTGGGGCTGCACGGCGCCTTCTGGCTGTACGCCTTCATCTCGGTGTGCGGGCTCTGCTTCGTGGTGTGCTGCGTGCCCGAGACCAAGGGCCGCGGCCTGGACGAGATGCGCTGGAACACGGCGGCCACCACCACCAACACGGCCTCGGCGGCCGCGGGGGTGCGCCTCGCGCCTCCCACCATGGGCCAGGCCGGCCTCCACCACCAGCTGGGGCACGGGCCGCACGCGCCGCCGGGGGGCGCGTAACTAGGGGCCCCGCTGTTCCCACCCCCCGCCATGGGGCCCAGCGTCAGGCTCGGACACGGCCGGCCCCCACCGGGGCACCCGGGGCACCTCGGGCACCCGTGGGGCACCCCGTGGGGCACCCCGTGGGGCACCCCGTGGGGCAGGCCCAGCCTCAGCCCCTGCCGCTGGGACATGCGGGGCTCGCGTGGTGGCAACACACGCACCGCGGAGCGCGACTCGGGCTCAGGCGGAGCAATGCGCCGCGCGAAGTACTGGTGTAGGGACGGCGGGAAGTGCCGGGACAGGCATGCAGGCACCACGCAGGCACCAGGCACCGACAGACAGGCCGCGGGCCGACGGACAGCGGGCAGACACACTGACGGACAGCACGACGACGAAAAGTACCAAACAAACAGAAGGCCACCCGAAAATAACCGCGGCACCCAACACGCGTCCTTCATTCAGCCCTGTCCCTTTCACGGCCCGACTCGGTCGGCCACTCGGTCGCCACTCGGGCCACTCGGGCCACTCGGTCGCCACTCGGTCGCCACTCGGTCGCGACTAGGTCGGTCATGTCGTGACAGCCTGCCGGGACGAACGCCCGGGAGCAGTTGGTAGATTCGACGAGTAGAGAGCATGCCTCATGTCAGTGGTTTTATCAGACTTTTTTAGGTTTTACTTTGAAAATATTTTTTATCAGAAGAGCGGAGCTGGATCTTTGCTAAAAAAAAATAACAATGTGGAATGTCAAGGTAGTTCTGGAAAGGCTAAATCAGGATGACGCGTGTACATCCTCTGCACAAACAATGACAGAGACAAGCACAAAACCTCCTATGCCTGTGCACGGAGGCCCATGATGAGACATTTTGTAAATACGTGACAATACATTTGTACTTTGTGCCTTCCTTGATATGATAATAATTCTTTTGTGAGATAACTCTTCAGTTTATTTGTGAATGCTGTGCTATATCTTATAAATATCAGGCATACTTAGAGATTGGTATTAATTTTCATCGACGGTGCCCGATTAGGAGAGTATATTTTATAGCAAATTACATTCTGTTAAATCTTTTTCTATTTATACTTAAGACAATAATATTCAGGGTAGTTTGTGAGGGAGGGGGTGGGTGGATTATTACTTGAAACTGGAACTAAAATCGAAAGCCAAGCCTATACTGCGAGACACTTTCATTTTTTTATGTCAGCAGTTAAAGTTCATTTTACTAAAGACAATAACAAGGACAATATTGTTGATATCAGGTTTCATATCAATTTTGATGACATGCATATTTTGAGCGACTAACAAATTTGTTCTGGGTGGAACTGAAAGTATAACATTTCTTAGCCAATATATTCCCTTAATTTGTTTTATCATATATAATATTTTTGGAGCTTTGATAATATGTTTGATGATGTGTTTGATCCTAAAGGAACGGATTTTTTCCTGCGATACTGGCGACAATAAATGCTGGGTATTTTGTATTGTTAGATATTTAGATATCACTACTAGAGACTGCTGAGCCAACAAGTGAAGAAGAAAAATGTACAAAATTTCCTCAATTCTTCAAACTGTTAGATAGTTTCCAGACAATACTAATATTATTGAAATAATTTTACCTCTCTAAAGGTGCGGGATATTTAAATTTGATGGTTTTCTAGAGCTACACATTTTTATATCATTTGTCGCATATCATCATCTTCCAAATATTGAATGCTAGTGCCAAGATGCTGAACTTGGGCATTCAACCACAATAACCAGAGGAATCTTCGACTTCTTACTTCAGGCTCATTTTTTATGGGGCAAAATAGATGTAGAATTTAGAATTATGCTTAACTAGGCATTATTTCCCACGGACCATTTCATTAAAGAAAATCAAGGTTACTTTATGTCCGAAAATTGCATGAATAGCTTAAATGCAACACATATCGAGCCCGCATTACATCTCAAAACCCATTACATTTTTTAAAAGTAACAATGGTCGCTATACAGTGTTGTACTGCTATTTATGCGACTTAAAAATGAGTCTAACTTGAAAAGCTTCCTTTAAAACATTGTGAAACTTAAAACTCTCATCATGAGAATAGATAAGCCTTAACATGCTCAACCAGTATAGATATTTTAGAAAGTACACTATCATCTGGAACTGGAATGCTCTTTGATCCTTTTTACAAGAAGCTTAAGTCACCATTGATCTTACTGAGATTAGCTGATCAGCATCCCAGAAATTTATCATGGTGCCTCATCTTCTTTCGTCTGATACGGTCCAGATGTGAAATCAGATGTAATGAATACATCACAGTTTCTATGTTTATAACGATGCAAAACAGTCCGGGTAGTGCATTCCAATAGTTTAAAAACATACTTAAAGACCATGAACGCCTTAAAATAAATCTAGTAATAAAATTGTAAGTCAATTAACAATCTTATGCAACGGCTGTTAAAGTTTGTAAAAGTGATTCACGCACAAAAAATAATGTATGTGTTTCTCCAGAGTAGGCAAAGATGCAAACAGACATGTATGAAATAGTGCAGGCTTTCAAGTGCGTGACTGTAAACATGCAGTGATAGGAAAGGTCATTAGAAAGAGCCTCCCCTTGCTTCACATTAAAGATGTGAAAATGGTATGGTAGAGAACAGAGGCGTGAGAAAATCAGAGGTGTGCGAATCATAATCATTGGAGTCAGAATCAAACTAGATCAAAGTGCTAATTGCTCAACTTTTTCTTACATTAAATCAAATCTTTTCCAAAGTTTGGACACCCAGTAAATCAAAAACCACTATTCTCTAGAATGTTTTATATAACTAGGGGGGTGCAGTACATAACTATCCCATATAAATTGCCGAATTTAGATAACTGTGAAAGGTAATGTATCCATTAAATACCCACTTGTATACTTTTTTTTTTTGTTCTGTTTGATTCAATTGGGATAACATGATTCACACATCTCCAAGGAAAATTAGAGCTTCAGTCTAGTAGAGGATTGAGAGCTGCTGACTTTTCCTTCAATTCCTTTTCCTTTGTAAGGTTGATACTTTTTGGTACAAATTCAGTCCTAAATTGACTGGATTTCAATGTAAAACGGGATTTTGTAAATTTAAGTGTAGATTTTCTTATGTAATGCGGGTTCACGCTTGTATCAGGCCTTGTGGAAGTCGATGAATCAAGTGTTAGACAATTGCTCAAGACTTCGTGAATGAGGATGAAAGCAACCCTTTGAAATCTATGTAGATTTGTGTTGAGCTTTCTGTGACCAGTAATGCTCTGTGTAAATCTGACTGATATGGCAAATTGCGTGTTAGCCAGAACTATGCAGAGGGTACCTGCCATGCTTTTGGGTAATTTCCGAACTTCAACAGTCAGGGTCCTCAATACCTTGACTTTGTAACTAAGGAAATTACACTGTCAAGTATTTTAGTACTTAAGCTAACTGATACATATTCATCAGTTGCAAAAGCAGACAATCAACATGCTGGCTAGACAACAACAACTTACTGTATTTTCTTTACGCTAAGCGACATATTTATCCAACACAGAAAGTTCTAAAGTAGAGACAATAGTTATCATATTAAGTCTGCTTGATAACATGTCCTCCTTGATGACAATAATGAATTTTTCAATAAACTGTTTGACAATAAATTTTTCATATGACAGATATGCTATTGTTATTGATTTTTTTGTGGAGTATACAGTATTGTAAGTCATGACCAGAACTTCCCTGTCCCTGACAACACATATCATTATTCTAGGAAACTAGAAGCTGGAGACAGTAACTTTCTACACGGTAACACAGAGGCAAAAGTCCAGACCCTGAACAAACGTTAAATGCTTTCGCAACTCACCAAATGCAGGGACGGAGTTGTAAGTGTCGCAGTCAACCAGGAATGCACCTGATTGCGTCGCTCCCATGGCATGAACCCGCTTTGTAAGGAATTCAATCACTTGTGGACCAGTCCGATTCTCTGTCATAGGATAATGTTGCACACTGAAACAACAAAATTTCATCCAGTCAACCACCTAACAGTAGCAAAGAAAATAAACTACGCTGAAAAGTTCAAGACGATCTGGTGCAAATTTCCTCTCATACATACATTGAATTTCATGTCCAAAGAACTGAGGAAATAATGGTAAAACATTTGGATAATGAAACACTGGAGGTATAAAAGTCATTATACAAGTATGTGCATGGTAATTTAGTTATTTCTGGCATTTCCAACTTCAAACGTTTCTGAATGACAGCTGTATTAAGAGGTTACAATACAGCCGGTTCTACAGCGGCAGACGAAGACATTTCGAAAGGACATGATAACTTACATGGTTACACCCATCCTGGACTTGAAGTTAGACCGAAGCGTACCTCTGGCGAATCACTGTTAGTTCAAAACACTCAATACCGGTTCATGAACCCGACACTTGACGATTTGTTTGCGAACGCGACGAACTAACCAAAACAAACAACAACATGGAAACAACAACAAATCTGCCTTGCAGACGATTTCGACAAGGCAGTGCACCACCAATTTCTCATAACCAAGCTTTTTGCTTTTGCTGTTGTTTTTGTTTTTAATATTTGTGCCGCTCTCCGCAGAAATAACATGTTCACTTTTTTCAACTTTTGGACTTTGGTCAATTAATTTCTGAACCTGTCGCAGGTGTCATGGAATTGCGCATGTGAACCGCCTACAACTTCGAAAATGGAGACATTAATCAAGCTGAACAATCAGGCCGCAGGCCGGGACAAAATGGCAAGGTTAGTGTCGAGGTGTCGAAACGTCAAACTAAATCTGCGTTAGATAGTAAACAAACCCATTTTCATTTATTCATTGTTTCAATGAAAACGATAGGTTACCTCAGCGGGCTTACCTGCTGGAACTGTAAGAGCAGGTAGAAGTCATCTATTTGTGAAATCAACAGCCGGTTCTGTGGTAAATTTATTACCAAACCAACACCCTGTATGAGAGCATGTTGTCGCATCTTTAAAACTGATTCACTACAGCCTGTCCGAGGCCTTAGTTCTTGTGTTTCCCTACTCTAATCCTCTGTGTATTTCAGCATGTGCAACACCAAATTGTCTTTACTCAGTTTTTATCGCTGCTGTCATTTTTGTTTTAGGATTCTTCAATATGGGAGCCGAGCCTTGTGGTTTTATATGCAGCAGAAGAAAATGAATCACCAGACCATAGAGAAGTTACGTGCTTTGGAATTCACATTTAGCTCCTTTCGTAAATGTAAGTTAACATTTTCCTCCAGCAGTGTTCTTTCTGTATTATTTTTCTCAAACCTTCCTAAATTGACTATTTTTTTGCAGTGCTGAGACTGGGAAAATGTGTCGATGTTATGTACAGTGCGCTGTCATCAATACACTACCCAAACATAACTGTGAGAGTGACCACAACTTTATCACGCATATCAATGTCACTTTACTTGCTTGCGGACCACATTTTGTGGATAGGCCGTACTGGACTGTGTGCGGTCAATGGAGAGAAGTGGGGCAAGGTTGCCAACAAGTACTGGATGTATGCCTTATTAATGAACCTTGTGCGGGACATTTATGAAATTCACCGAATCTTGAAGCTGCGTCAAGTGAGCCTCTCTGACTTCTTCTCTGATGGATGTGACGCCCGCAAGAAGCTAGCCACATGTGCTAGGGATCATAGGGATGTTATAGTAGACACAGTAAAAAATGCATGTGATGTAGTTATACCATTGACAGCTCTAGGCTTCCTGAACTTCAGTCCAGGGTCTGTTGGTCTGTGTGGTGTTGTTTCATCTGCTGCGGCCTTACTTACTTTAATAGATCCCTTATTGAAGCTTACGCCATCATAAAATACATTCAATTATCCAATTACCTGTGTGTCGATACGCTCAAAATAATGATGGCAGAACAATTAATGTTATACCCTATTTCTGTAACATGTGATCCTTCCCTGACTGAAGGACAGTTTTAATTTCCGCCTGGTTGATACCTGCTTGATACTTTTATCTTGAACATGAACCTAGTCATTTTACTAAGATAACACTTGATTAGTGGCGCTGATTAAACAGAATGTTCTTAATGAGAAATTTTTGTACAGATTGTACAGAATAAGTTTCACACTCCAAAATTACAGAATTACTTTAAATATGAAATATCTTCTTTATGTTTAACATATTTTGTCGTAGGGTTATACTTTAAGAAATCTTTGAAGTGTTCATACAGTATTGACTGAAGAGGCTTAGTTACCCATCCTTGTATGAACACTGTGTCTGATCAATTTATGGGTATTATTTGTGTCTGTGTATTCAAGTTGTCAATTAAATTGGTTTCATTTTTTAAGGGTTGAGGGGCAAATATAAGTCATTGCTTGATTAATCAGGTTTTTAATTATGATAAATAGACATTCACCAACAATAAACCAAGGTGATTTTTTTTTTTTTTTTTTTTTACAAAATACTGTAGTATGGTAAAATAAAATAAATTATATCACATGTTTTTAATTTGTTGTAAGATCTTTTAACAAATCACCACTGCTCAAAAGGGAACCACAAACAAGACAAAAATATTGTGGCACAATGATAATTTAGCATTTTTCACTCGCATTCTCTGAAGAGTGGATGAAGTGTCGATGATTCTCATGGGTTCAGTCCTTGCTTTAAAAGATAATCTTGATCCCGGATCCAAAGCTGCTCACAAATTACATTCATAATAGGTGATATCTTGTGAACTTCATTCCTCTCACTCATAGAAGAATTCAATCGAAGAACTCTGACTTTCCACTTGAGCTCGAATTCCTGTATTTGAGCACTAGAAACCTCCTGGTTACCCACAGTGCTACTATATCTGAAAGGAAAAACAAGTACATGAGATAAAGTTCAGAGGAGCAAGCTATTGTCGTGATGTCACAAACTATGTTCTTACCTAGTACCAATAACTATTTTAGCTGGATAGTGCCCTTGAGATAATTTGCTCATAAGCTGAGGAATTTCTAAAAAGCTAGCAGCATCGGTATAAGAGAATACTAGCACAACGGCATCCGCCTTTTCCTTGCAAGCCTGTCTCAAAACAAGTAAAAAAACATTTCAGATTAGCATTTGAACATTTTTTTTTTAAGTAGGTAAATAGGGAAAGTACGTACTGTTAAAATATGACTGTATTTCTTCATACTGTTTTCTCCAGCATCCCAAAATTGTAGTTTAAATAAAATTGTTTTGTCCCAAATCTTGACTGGCCAAAAAATGTTTGTTTTATGAATGCCTGCTGTCTCGATGTAGGTGGACTGACAGGGAATGCCTGCTAAACGAGCGATGGCAGTTGTCTTACCCACGCCCACTCTCCCACCTACGAACAGCTTGTAAGAAACTTCTTCCACACTGGCTGGCAAGTTCGGCTTCTCAAGGATACCTGTCCAAAATAAAAGAATGATTAAAAAATAGCTGCCACTACCACAGTAAACAGAATGAAGGTTCTGAAGAAATTTCAGACAGACATGATAGAAATGTAATATTAGAAGAGAACCAAGACAAAAAAAAATATTTTACCAAACAACTTTCTTCCTGACGAATGTGGGTCGTAGAAGTGTTGTAAAACTGTTTCACCCTCCGCAGTACTTTGCCAATCCCTCAAGACCACACTGTTAAACATTATTCAGTCAAAAATGGTAACAGCATTCACATGGGAAGGGAAGGCCTAGTTTGCTGACATTAGTGACCTTAAATGTCAACGTCCTGCGTGGGAACGGCTACTCGGTCGGTGTACCGTTGTTTGTTGTTTACTTTTACGCCCCAGCGCTCCAGCCAATGGGAGTGCGAGCGTGCGGATAGTGGGGCAGGCGACGAAGTATACTCTTCCCAGCGTAACCTTTCCGAAAGTAGTCCCTTGGCCGTTTTATCCCCACATTGGCACAGATTATTCGATGTTTCTCCCAAACTAAAGATTGATTCTCAAAATGAGGGCGAACGGGGCAGACAAAAATGTGTGGGCCTTTGACTGAAATAAGTTGTTATTATCGAATCTCTTCCAGTTGCTCAAACCTAATGCAGAAAGTTTGGAGCTCGGTCCAGAGGAGAAGCCGACCTCTCTCACACAGACCAAAACTTCTAAAGAATGAGACAAAATTTCAAAAAAAGAAGGTGAACGGGGCAGACAAAAATGTGTGGGCCTTTGACTGAAATAAGTTGTTATTATTGAATATCTTCCAGTTGCTCAAACCTAATGCAGAAAGTTTGGAGCACGGTCCAGAGGAGAAGCGAACCTGGTGCATTTAAACCAAAATTTTAAAAGAATAAGCCAGAATTCCACAAAATGAACGCGAGCTGGGCATACAAAGTAGTGTGGGGCTTAGACCTATGCAAGCTCCTTTTATGGAATCTCTTCCAGTCACTCAATGTAAGTGCGAAAAGAGGTTCCGAGAGACCGTTGTTTTGAAGGGCTCGGACCGGCACGTCGTCTGCCCGCGGAAATGCAAAACCCGGAATGCGTAATGATTAAGTCCGAAATTGTTCGTAATTTTTCAATGTTGTTTATTTATACGATTAATTATGATGGCAACGGTCTAGGGTTGAGTATTAGTTTTAATAAACCGCATTACCTGCAGGACTATTTTCTGTTCTCTGTTTACTGGCGGAGTGATTTAGAAAGGTTATGCTGGGACGAGTATATTTAGGCCTCTACGGGAGAGGTGTGACGTTGGAGCACACGGGAGACAACAAATAGGTTTTCGAGTCTGGCCTCGCGGCACATCTGTTACTTCTGTACATCACCAGAAAAAAAACACGGAAACGTCATTTTCAGGGGCATTTCATTGATCATGACAGACCTGTGCTGTCTGCCAAACAAGTAACTGTTTGAAATTCGAGGGAAGCACCAGAGATGCGCCTTTCTTTTGTCACGCACCGACTGTTGGCAGTGTGACCGCCCACTTAGTGGCGGGAAATTTGAAGCTTCGACTGCAACGACGGATTCGGCAGAGTGTCGCAGGACGAAATATTATTCCAGAATATTTCTAACTAGTGTGCATTTTGTCAATAAAACCAAAAGGTGAAGTTCTCCGTACCACAACATTTATTTATAAAATCACAGTCAATTAGAAATAAGAAGAATAACAACCAAATTACGGAAGTGTGCTATCAACAAAGACACCACAACTCATCACAATAACAACTGGAATCATCGGTGTTATGACTTGGAATCATACAGTATAGTTAAGTATTCTAAAAGTTGGAATGCAGTCGGTGTTTTGTTCCACATATTTTTCTCTTAATGAATGACAGCAGTTTTAAGTTATATTTTTTGTTGTTGAGATCTCACACTGTCCAAAAACACTGGGCTACGCAATGATATTGTTGATACTGTACATCAATTCTGTTTTCAAATCGACATTTCTTTTTTTAATCATTTTATGGAAATGAACAAACTAATTATTCTACAAGACACAACCACTTACTCTGCTTTAATCTATCTAATTTCATGATCCAGTAAAAAAATTACATCAAACTTGAATAAAAAGTTCTTGCACATTGACTTTATGAAATAATATCTCTCAAGAGGCATAAATGAGATAACAAGGCAAATTCTTTAATTTGTTTGGTTGTTTTTTGTGAGAGTTTTTAAACAGACCTCATCGCGAAAAGCAGAGTTGGAATGTAAACACATCCTTTCAAAATCATCCTAAATAACAGTCCAAAACATGAGACTGCTTCAACAAGAAAAAGTAATGACTAGTATTTGAAAGCCTTGAGAGCAATCAAATTCCCTTCATGCAAATGTAAGATAAATTAAAACACTTCAGGACAAATAGACATATTTCATTAAAAGTAAGACTAGACAATATTTTGCACTTTCACAGAATGCTTATGAAGCATTTGCCAGTCAGACATTTTCCCTTTTTCACATACGTAATTTTCTTACACCCCAAGGTGCCTTCTTCCGGCCTGGCGGAGTCCTTCCACAAATTACAAAAGCACATTATAAGAGCAACAAATAAATTTCTGTTGGACGCATCAATCAATTGATGGATGAGGAACCACACCACAAAAAAATTCCATTACCAACAGAACAAACATGAGTAAGGTAGTACGGAACTTTGTCCAGAAATGTGGCTGATCTGCTCACACGTTCTGTCAAACTTTGTACTTCGATAATAAAATTAGGTGCACACGTTTCGGACATAGGCGAGGTTTGTCCCCCAGATCTGCTACGTAATTGTTAGCCACGACGACTGCAGCATTCAAACACACTACGAATTTATCATTGAAACAATCGCCCAAGATTATCAACAGTAAAGAAGGTAAAGTCTCACTTCGGAGCTGCTTCCGTATGCTTGTAGCTCCAGACACGGCACATCTCACTTTCATGTTCAAAGCGGACGACCATGAGTAAACTTGTTGATCGGTGCGACGGCCTTCGGCCCCTTCGGCCACCTCAGCTGTCCTGCAGCTGCCCACGCTCCAAGGTTCCCTGCGGGGAGGGCCTTGGCTGACTTAGGTGTCCCGCAGCTAGCGTGCACTGTCCACCCGAGCTGACCCGCAGCTGGTGCAGGCGGTGCAGGGGCCGCCGAGCTGCTCACACGCAGGAGGTCACCTCCTCTGCCCCTCCAGCTCCAGCTGCTCCAGCTCCGCCTCCCGCGCCACCGCCGCCGCCGTCACGTCGGGCACCGCCAGTGCCGCCGCCCCCAGCGCCCCCGCCCTGGCCCCGCACGTCGAGCACACGGCCGGGGCCGGCGAGGCCGGCGTGGCCGACGTGGCCGAGGGGGAGGCCGGGGGCGCTGCAGCTCCGTTGGGCGAGGCGAAAACGATGGTTCTCCGGGAGGCGGCTGCGGAGGAGGCCTGGGAGTCCCCCTGCGGACTCTTGGGGCTCCTGGAGGCCTTGCAGGGATCCCCCGGGCTGGCGCTGCTGGCGTGGCTGGCCGGCTTGCTGCTGCGCAGAGCGCTTTTCAGCGTCAGCTTGCGGTCCGTGGCGGCCGACAGCGCCGACAGCGGGATCGACACCTGCAACACAGCGGGGCCGCGGTTCAAGCACCTCTCTAGGTTTACTCTATCTGCGCGGTCTCTCTAGACTCGGTCTCTCTAGAGGTCGGCATTTTCGAAGTCGCAGCCACGGACAACAGGCAAAACCAAACCACACACACTTTTCTGCTTCACTCACATGCTTACAAAATGACCCAACCCCAACAACAAAACTGGATTTCATGCCAAAACTACAGCGCCACAATACACATGCATCAAAAGAATGCAGAAACACCTTGTTGTTTATTTACCCGTACGTCCGGAGCGCTGCCTTCCTAAAACATGCAAACCGCGGAGCGCACAGTGGGCCAGGAGGCCGGTGGAGGCCGTCAAAATCCCAGACGCGTTTCGCGCTCCAGAGTCGCTAAATGGGACTCGAAACGAACGTGTGACCCCACCAATGGATTGCTCTCCGAACGAGGAATCCGTTGGTAGGGTCACATGCTCGGTTCAAGTCCCATTAAGCGAATCTGGAGCGCGATCCGCGTCTAGACTTTTGGACGCCTCCACCGGTCCTCTGGCCCACTGTGGAACGGGCCAGCCAGACCAGAACAACACTCGAAGCTGGAGGGCAAGCCGGGGTACTTGATCAAACGTGACCGTCGCAGCAGCCATACTCTAGCCAGCCCAAACCTCCAAACGCAGCGCAGGCTGGGGCCGGCTGGGGCCCCCACAGCCCGTCGCACAGCCACTGCTCGGTGCATAGCACGGGAGACATGGACATGAACTGACCTTGCTGCTTCAGGCAGACGATTGAGTTGAGCTCGGACCACTCGGTGGCGCAAGAAACCTGCAATAAACACACTGCTACTGCAAACTGGACAAGGCCAAGGACGTCGCGGAGCTCACTGAGAAATAAAAGGAAATAAACGACCACCAGAGGGTGCTCCGCAGGGCGCTCCCTACGCTCTCTACGTCGCCATGCACCACGCTCGCTACGGGTCACTACGCGTCACTACGCACTACGGGGGAAGAGGCGACAGAAAAACAATCTAGATTTTAAAAGTCTCAAAATATGGCTAAAAACCAAGCATGTTTTTCTATTTTTGTGTCAAAAGTCTGAGTGACGTAAACAAAAGAGTGGCCACTAGTCGGCCGGCTGGCTGAGGTTGGCGACTGCCCCCCAGGCGGTGCTCGCTGCAGCAACTCAGTTCCGAGGGGTCCTTGGTCGCCGCGTCTCTCACGCACTCACGGAATGCCCCGCCCCTTTCAGGTCGGCTGTGGATTCACCACTGACGGCCCGTGGGGGTGCAAGAGAGAGAGAGCGACGTACAGTGGGCCAGAGTGGTAGCGGCTACAGGCGGTTTGAGCAACCGAGCGTGTGACCCCACCAATGGATTCCTCGTTTGGAGAGCAATCCATTGGTGGGGACACAAGTTCGGTTCGAGTACCACTTAGCGACTCTGGAGCTCAAAACGCGTCCGGAATTTTGGCCGCCACCGCCGGTCTTCTGGCCCACTGTGCGACGGTACGATCCTCCGGGACGAGGCTGCAGGACCTCCAGGACCTCCAGGACCTCCAGGACCTCCAGGACCTCAAGGACCTCCAGGACCTCCAGGACCTCCAGGACCTCCAGGACCTCCAGGACCTCCAGGACCTCCAGGACCTCCAGGACCTCCAGGACCTCCAGCCCGAAACCCCCAGGACCTCCAGGACCTCCAGGACCTCCAGGACCTCCAGGACCCAGGACAGGACCTCCAGGACCTCCAGGACCCCCAGGACCTCCAGGACCTCCAGGACCTGGCGGTGGTGACCTCAGAGCCTCCAGCCGTGGCTGCCGGGCTGCGCCGCGAGCGTGGCCCGTGCTGCGCTGGCCGTGCGTGGCCGGCGGCTGGCGGAGGCGGAGGCCTGGCCGTGGAGGCCCGGCTCCCCGCGGCCGGCCATGGAGGCCATCGAGGCCGCCGCCGCGCAGTCCTCGTCGCGGTCGCGGCGCCAGCTCACCAGCCGAAGCAGGCCCAGCGCGCGGACGCGGGAGTTCTTGGGCCGCTGTCTCTGCAACAGGCAAGCCAAGGCAAGCGGGATCACGAACCGACCAACCGGCCACATAGGGAGAGAAAATCTGCTTTGGGGTGCTAAATGCTAAATTTTAATGGAGGCTGGGCGGTGGGCCCGCCGAGAGAGAGAGGGCATCAGGGGAAAAAAAGAGACAGATTGATCCGCTTGGCGGGAACGCCCGCGTCGGACGAGGAAGGCGCGGCAAGCGGGGCAGACAGTGGAGGGGATCAAAAAGACGCCTCCAGAGGATACAGGGGAGGGGGCACCTGTCACACCTCAGCAAACGTGTGGCTTTGCGGCAATACTTCTCGTGTCGCACACACGTGTCTCTCCAGGCTCAACCCGCATAGCGCCCCACACGCACACATACACGCGCTCTCTCTCTCTCCCTCTCTCTCTCCCTCTCTATCCCTCTCTCTCTCTCTCTCTCTCTCTCTCTCTCTCTCTCTCTCTCTCTATCCCTCTATCCCTCTCTCTCTCTCTCTCTCTCTCTCTCTCTCTCTCTCTCTCTCTCTCTCTCTCTCTCTCTCTCTCTCTACACACACACACACACACACACACACACGTATAATACGTCGGGAAAGGCAAATCCCTAGTCTGAGCCGCGACCCAGGGGATCTCACATTCGATGTCTGAGGGTGCGCCATATGTTTTTGAGTGAGGCAACCCAGGAGTCACAATGACAAATTTTCGTTTTATGTTTGTTTTTGTTTTTTCGTGGTTTGGATGATTTTTTTCAAACATCTTCTAATCCGCCTTCTTTTTATGGGAGGTTGGCACTTTTCACAGAGAAAGCAAGGAAAAACACGACAGAGCCACCATGCAACCATACACACACGATTCGTCACGAATATCGCACATCCTGACCATGCAGCATGCCTACCACCATGCATTTGTGCCCCCACGCCCAGTGGGCCAGAAGACCGGTGGAGGCGGTCGAAAATCCCGGACGTGTTTTGAGCTCCATAGTCGCTAAATGGGACTCGAATCGGACCTGTGACCCCACCAATGGATTCCTCGTTCGGAGAGCAATCCATTGGTGGGGTCACACGTTCGGTTCGAGTCCCATTTAGCGACTCTGGAGCTCAAAACGCGTCTGGGGTTTTGACGGCCTCCACCGGTCTTCTGGCCCACTGTGGGGTCGGGGAGGCGCTGCCCTGCTCACCTGGCTGTTGCTGCGCCTGGTCCGGATGTTGAAGGCGCCGTACACGATGGGGTTCATGCACGAGTTGGCGGAGGCGAACAGCATCAGGCCCTTCTGGAGGCGCTGGTCCGAGTTGATGGCGTTCTTCCTGTCCACCCAGTACCTGTGCGGAGCCGGCACACTGTTAGTGGAGCACGCGAGAGACACAGAGCACTGTCTTCATAATCCGGACTGGCTAACGTCGTCAGGGCCGGGGGATGATTGCATCAAGGAGCCCGCTGTCTCTCTCGCACCGCGAGGTGGCGACGCTGTGCGAGAGAGAGAGAGAGAGAGAGAGAGAGAGAGAGAGAGAGAGAGAGAGAGAGAGAGAGAGAGAGAGAGAGAGAGAGAGAGAGAGAGAGAGAGAGAGAGAGAGAGGTGATCAAGCCAAATGGGTGGCGACACCTTGTTTTCTTCTTTCCCACGCGAAAGTGGAGGGGGGAGGGCACAACCAGGCAGGCGAGAGGTCACCTCCTCTCAGAGTGCCACTCAGGCCTCGACTCGGACGAGTCATTAATTTCCCCAACTCACACTCCCCCAACTGGCCGTCGGCATTTCTCCCACTTTTCTGCGTTTTTTTTTTTTTGGTATAAAGGTGAGGCGTCGAGAGGTCAGCCCACGAGCCCTCCCTTTTTTCTTTCCAGCCAATAATTACGTGGCGACGGGACGGTGTTTGGACTGGCTCTAAGCCTGGCCGCTTGGAAGGTGTGCCTAACGAGCCGCGACACTGATGAATAAAACTGGGGAAAAATCCACTCGGTTATTCGTTTTAAACTTTGAGTGGGTTCTAGTTGAACGTTCTTCGAAAAATTAAAAGAAAATTTTTTAAGAGAACCCATGCAAAAATGTCATCCGAGCGACCGGGCTCGAACTTGGGCAACAGTGTGACGTCCCACTCGACGCACTCTCACAGAGTCTCTATCCCCGCCTTCTCCAAACTCTTCCAACTTATTAGGCGGCTCCCGGACATGTGAACAGAGTTCGGCACAAGTTGCCGACGGAGACAGGATGGCAGGCGAGGCAGGCGAAGCTGACGAGTTGGAGCACGGGCGATTCCGTGTGCGTCACGCAGGTCGGGCAGTGAACAGCCAAGCCAGAAGACCGGTGGAGGCGGTCAAAACCCCGGACGCGTTTTGAGCTCCAGAGTCGCTAAGTGGAACTCGAATCGAACGTGTGACCCCACCAATGGATTGCTCTCCGAACGCGGAATCCATTGGTGGGGTCACACGCTCGGTTCGAGTCGCATTTAGCGACTCTGGAGCTCAAAACGCGTCGAGAGTTTTGGCCGCTTCCTCCGGTCTGCAGAGCCAGGCGGGCCGCCTGCGAACGGCGGGGTAGGCAACACGGTGCGCACGCGTGCCCGCGGTTGCCTACCCTGCAGGCGCTCTGGAGCGACACCGATTCGACCGAGACAGACTTTTAGAGTGCAGTGCACCGCTCGGCACAGGCCCCGACTGAACACAGCCACCTGGCAGCGTTGCCCAGCGGTAATCTTCTGGTAATGACCCGGGCCGTCAGCGGGAGGGGCTCCCGTTTGACGCGCGCGCTAACAACGCGAAGTACCCGCAAAAAAGCTGCGAAAGCCGCGGAAGCTACTCACCACACCATCATGACGTAGTACGGGGTGGAGCAGACGAAGAACACCAGCACGATGATGATGGTCATCTTGAGGGTGCGTATCTTGGCGCGCCCGAGGAAGCCCAGACTGGACCGCCGCACTGAAAAAAAAATTCACCACACCGGTGTATTTTTGTTTTGTTTTTGGTTTGTTGCGTTGGCACTCTCCACCGCCTGATTGCGTGATGGCGGCGGCGCTTTGCAACGCGACCCGCTTTCCTCTCTCTCTCTCTCTCTCTCTCTCTCTCTCTCTCTCTCTCTCTCTCTCTCTCTCTCTCTCTCCTCTCTCCCCTCCCCCCCTCTCTCTCTCCCTCTCTCCTCTCTCTCTCTCTCTCTCTCTCTCTCTCTCCTCTCCTCCTCTCCCTCTCCCTCTCTCTCTCTCTCTCCCTCTCCCTCTCTCTCCTCTCTCCTCTCTCTCCCTCCTCTCTCTCTCTCCTCTCTCTCTCTCTCTCCTCTCTCTCTCTCTCTCTCTCGGCCTGCAGCAGCCAGGTGGGAAGCGCGATTCGAGGTGGGCGGTCGAGGCTCCCCTTGATTGAATCCCGATTACAGTGGAGGCACCAAATGGGCGGCGATGGCGGCAAAAACACGACGGCAGCCGCCGGGAGATAAGGGCGGGGTGCACTGTAGGATCGCCGACATTTTTTACTCATCTTTTTAAAACTCTCTTTTTTTTTAACCATTTTGTAATTTTTTCCTATACTTTTTTCCAATCTTTACCCCTACATACCTTTGCTACCATTTAGGTTTTTTTTAAATTTCAAGTTCTCTAAAGTTTTGTAGGTCTTTTTTAAATGATCTTTTATTAAGTTTTAAAATTTTAAA